AACATTCTGTCAGGCTTTCACACTGTACTACTTTCAGCTGGGTCCTTAATCACTGGTGACCATTGATGCATGTTATTGATCTGCTTAATTGTTTCGATGTCTTCCTACACTTTCTCCTTGGTTTAAAAAATACCCTGAATAAATTGTGTTTTAAATAACTTCAGTATATAGAACTTGTACTTCTTTATTTGCAAAACAAAGAAACATTTTGCGAGTCAATTGTCTTTTGCTTTTTCAGACACTTGGAGCAATTTGGTTTGGACCTGGTTTTGTCTGCTGGATTCAGACCCTATATAATACAATAATAATATAATATAATTCTCCTAATGCCTCAGTTATTACTAATGTCATGATATCCAATCCTTTTACAATCTGTCGTGAAACCAGCCCTCTCTCCCCTTTGTTATTTGATATTTTTTATTGAACTATTAGCCTTAGCAATAAGACAATCTGATTACATTACTGTTATCACTGTTGTACATACTGTACCAAATATAAAATTAGTACTGTATATATACTAATGATACTTTACTTTATTTACAAAATCCTAATACTATGAGGTGCCGTTTAGAAACATTATTCAAACTTTACCTCCAATACACAAACAAAATGCTCTCACATTCACTAGTTTTACCTCTCACGTACACACAAAACACAAAACGTCTGTATGTGACTCAGTATTGTGCTGCAAAATAAAAATAATATTAAATAAGAAAAATACGTCAGTGGTTCCAAGTTATTACAGTCTCAGTTCTCACATGTCTCATGGAAAAGGATAAGAACAAAAATTATAAGAAAGAGAATTTAGATAAAGCAGAGGAGCAGAGCAACTGGTTGAGAGTGAAGGGAGTAAGTAAATTTAATTTACTAGCCGGTTATTGTGCTATATAAAAATTATATCACAGTACAGTAATGCTTCATTTTTAATAGTGATATGCAATAATTTAATTATAGAGGGTAACAATGTTTTCAGTACTCATTTTCAGTTACTACCAGTAATTACTAGCACTATTTCTTAATCAGTTAATAGTTATAACAAAAAATACTATAGAAATGCTTGATTTGCGAGTCACAGAACCAGACCCTATTTTTCCTATAAGGTTTTAAATTGCATATTTGTTAACTTACAAGTATAGGTACCTCAAGGTACTGAACCCTCACAAATTCTGAAATTTTACTGTATACATTTTCCTACAGATGCAGCCATTCAAAGTGCGCGGCACAGACACGTACCGCGCGATGACGCAAAAAACCGCGGTACGTGATTGGTTGACTGACAGGGGCACTTGTGATGCCTTGGTTGGTCGTAGAAAGATTTAAATGTCTTTACTGTGCCTGTTTTAGTATTGAACATTTATATGGAATTTTACCACTGAAGGGAAATCTTAGTAGCTGAGTATAAAAAGAATAGGAGCATACTGTAACGCGTGTGAAGGCCAAAAACGATATTAATTTTGGAACATAAACATACAGTATATGGCTGGTCTCGGTGCTTTAAAGAAAAAATACACACCAGTATTCCATTTCTCCCTAAACATTTTAAGCATCGGAGTCTTTAACTAATGTGATACTGGAGTCAACAAGCATACTTTTTAAATTTGATTAAAAGGGAATATAATATGGAATTGCGCATCTAAAGAAATTAATAATGATATAATTATATTCATGTACCGCAATACAAGAATAGTACACGCTGTATGATGTCTGTTGATAATGTTTCTGTAGGACTTTTTCAACACCCCTTATGTGACCTTGCTGGTGGCGCTGTGGGTTAGGTTCCTGACTCCCATATCACATGTTGGGTGTTCGAATCCAGCTGGAGCCATGACTTTTTTTTTTAACAAACATTTCTTTGAAAAAATGAAGCATTTCCCTGGGTCAGAACTTCACTCGCACCAAACAAATTTATATTTTTCTCAAAAATTACTGTACTTTGCATGATTGGAAACAAATGCGTGATTGCGAAATGCTGTGGTGTTACTTTTACAAAGACAGTCAATGCAAAAAAAGAATGTGGACCAGGGCAATACTTTGAGTTTACAGCTTGTCCAAGGTCATTCATTATTGATACTATTAGTAATATTTTTGTTAGAGACTTTGATGGCGACAGCTCAAACATGAGAGGTTGAGCTTTATTAGCTCCACCTTGCGGAAATTCCGGATACTATTATTTTACTTGCGGTACCACGTGGTATTATGAGGTACTATACGAGAATTTACGGTAACTCGCGGTAGGCTGCGTCAAGCGCACCGCAAAATAATGCGGTATTGCCCGCTTGTTTTGAATGGCTGCATCTGTACATGTAGTGTAGGGGTTTTGTGCATGTACTGGGACAATTATTAATTGTAGCAGTAAATCACAAAATGATTCTTCAATGGGTATTATAAAATCGACCTTGCAGAAGAACTCAGCAATGCACACACATGGATACTAATACACGAGAATACATTTATTAATACATAAAATGTGCATATAAACATAACAGATTTTATAGTGACGGTTAGCAGAATACAAAAGTATACAAAACTCAATCACGAAAAGTTATAAATACCAAGTGATACATACATTCATAATACGATTCATTTATACTGTTTCATTAATTAGCTTTTTGATTAGCTTTTGACAACTTCTACACTTCATACTCAAAAGCAAGTACATCACTCATATGAATTAAATTGACATCAACTGGGATTGAGATAATAATTGAATTCTCGAGCTGTAATGCAGAATGTTGAATACTCATCCAATCTCTGTGGATTCATATCTCCCGCGGACACAAAGAAGGCTGTTGCTGCGTCCAATCAGCGTCCTCTGGCCCGGTGCCAGCAAATCCTGCTGTGGCTGGAGGTGTGGGGGAAGGAGGGAGAGAGTCCTGCTGCGGCGCGCTGGCAGTGAATCTCTGAAGACCTGGCTAGTTAGTCCTGGAGCATTCCTGCTCCATACCGAAGCCCGCGGTCGTTACAATATCATTCAGTTCTGTGTTTCATCGTGTAACAATGTGGGAGTGGGAGGAGCCGCAGTGAACACTGGTAAAAGTTGATGCCTTATCTGAGGGGGCTGAAGCACCAGTTGAGGCTAAAAACACAAAAAGGAAAAAGAAAAACATCTATTAGTTAATTGCATTTTTAGATGAGATAAGATCACTTTAATAGCCATATATAATTTCTTGCATTGAGAATTTGTCTTTTTGCACACCCCAGCTTGTTCTCCATGAGACACACAGGGAGAGTGAAGCTCGGGGTCAGAGCACAAAGTCAGACATTTATACGGCACCCCTGGAGCAGCTGGGGTTAAGGGCCTTGCTCAGGGGCCCAACAGAGTAGGATTTCTCTGCCAGTCGCTAGATTTGAACCAGCAATTTCCAACCACAGGCGCAGATCCTTTGCTACAGTGCCACCGAAACCTTAGCTGTTTGTTTATGCAGTTACACACATAACAGCAGTGTACATCAGTGACTCTCTGAAGATCTATTTAGTCCTGGCTGAACTTGTGCACATGAAAAATGACTGCAGGTCCGAGCAAGTTACACTCTTTAGACAGGAAGAAGACTGGTTCGTTCCCGATGTAGCGCTAGTCCTGAATCCTGAGATTCAGCTGTCGACAGTTCCGATCGTAGTTCACTCATTGATCAGGCAAACGTTCACGGTGGGGTACCGGCGGTTCACGAGGCTTGCTGCTGGGCTAACCTAACCTCGGGTGGATCCACTGGTTACGCGCGGGTGACCTCCGGTCTCGACGCTTAGAACAAAATAAAGTCCTGGCACTCGGACACACTGGCCGTCACGTGATTGTCCGAGATGAGCCTGAGAATGTCCTGGAGGGGCGCTCTGGGCTCTTTGTTGCCTCTTTTATCTGGAGGAACTACAGTCGTTCATTGGTTAAAAGTTTCGTGGGCATTCGAGACCCAAGTGAGGTTACCCTGCCCTACCAGTTCCTGATTGGCTGATCAAGGTAGAGGATGAGTAACAATGCTCTCTGACTTTAGGATTATAAACACCTTGGGATGACCATTCATTAGGGTGGCTGGAGAATCTCAGCCCTGGGAGTCGTTCCTTATCAGGAAACTCTTTCAGGCAGAAAAACACCTTAAATCTGAACCACATAGAATGGCCCCTCTGTGTCCAGCACCACAGAGATGAGATGAGGGAGAGAGAGACTAGCAGGGGGACAACAAACTTAATTCCTATACTATTAATAAGCATTGCCGCTACTGTTAGGAATACATACACAAATGATGACTCTCTTTAAATTGTATTAAATCTACATGTTATAGACCAGGGGAAATTACTGCATTTGTTCAGTCAAGATACAAGTTCAAACTGAAAAATTAAAAGAACTATCATTGGTTCTCATACCTAAATAACGCAAACACCTAAGGGAGCTTTAATTTTCCTCTAAAATCGAATGATGGGCTGCCTATAATTAAGAATCCTCAACTTATCTACTGGGCCTTACACACTTCTGTCTCTATAGATTGATTAGCGTTCAGTTTAGTTCAGTTCAGTCCTGTTGCTGATCTAAGAATTATTACCTCATATACTGTATGACTGTTAAGGTTTATTTTTAACAACATGCTAGTGCCTCATCAAGGGAATTTGAGAAAGGCATTTAAGATACAGTAGCTACTGAAGAAGTTGTATTAAAGTAACAACAAATGGTGAGTTCTATTGCTCTTTATCATTAATATTGTCAATGATGTCTCTGCTGCAGTTATTCCACACAACTACTGGATCTCACTTACAATTCTACTAACAATATACAGATAGTAAAAATGATTGTTTCATTATTTTTAATATATTTAATGTTTCTGTTATTTAACTCATATCAGTTTAATATGTCTAATATGAAAATATTATATCAGCATTGAAGTACAGTGTGATTAAATGCTATTGGAAGATAATTAAACCTGCATACTGTAGAAATCATATGATTTCTTTATTTTTTTATTTTGTTGACGCATATGTGTTGAATTATTCTTGTAGTTCTTTGAAGACTAAAGACATAAAGGATTTACTATACTTTATCTATTGATTTATATTCTTATTATTCTAAACTGTGTAACAGATTAATGTAATTCCTATTTCTGTTTCTCAGAATTATAGAAAGTATAATATATTGTGCCATCACATTCTCTTCTTAAATGTTTAGCTTAAATGATCATTGTTTGAAAGCTGGTTATAATCTGTATTAAATGTAATAATGGAAGTGTTCTCTGATTTGCAGGTGAATGTGTTATTTGGAATCTTCAGCACTGAGATGCAGGATTACTCAGGTGGAAATATATCCCACACCGAATTTCTTTTTGTGGGATTTTATGAACTTAAACAGCATCGATGGCTTCTTTTCTTCCCTTTCTTCCTGATGTTCATGTTGTCTAGTATTGCTAACTCGATTCTTATATTTGTCATTAAAACGCAAAGGAGTTTACACTCTCCAATGTGTGTTTTAATAGGTGCCATGGCCTGTGTAGACTTGAGTCTGCCAGTATTTATTGTTCCCAAAATGATATTTAGCTTCTTATTTAACTGGGATGGTATTTCGCTACTGGGGTGTCTGGTGCAAATGTTTTTCATTCATTTTGTTGGCTCATTCCAATCATCAATTCTCCTTTGGATGTCTCTGGATCGGTATGCTGCCATATGTATTCCTTTGCGCTATAACGATTACCTGAATATTTCTAGCTCTCTAAAATTTGTTCTTGCAGCCATTGTTAGAAATGGTACATTTGCTGTTATTGTTGATGTCCTTGCAGGAGATCTTTCTTTCTGCTCCTCAAATGCCATTAATCATTGTTTCTGTGAACACATGGCCCTGGTAGGACTGGCCTGTGGAAATACAATTGTGAACAATGTTGTAGGTTTGTTAGCAGTTTTTTGTGTTACAACCCTTGATTGTTTGTTCATGGTTATTTCATATGTCAAAATCTTCATTTCAGTCTTTAAAACGACATCAGGAAAGTCTTTCCACAAAGCAATCCACACCTGTACTACCCACATTATAGTCATGTGTGTGACTTACTTCTGTGCCATGACAGCTTTTGTTTCATATCGGATTCCGAATTCAATCCCTCCTGACATTCGTATCATAATTAGCACAATGTATTTACTTTTCCCCAGCTGTTTTAATCCAATTATTTATGGAATCAGAACAAAAGAGATAAGGGAGCAGATACTCAAACTGGTAGGAAGGACAAAATTTGCTCAAATATCTGTTAAAGCTTAAAGTGTGATTCACCATTAACACAAAAAAGGGGAGGTGATGGACTTAACATAAAATTATTTGATATTATTAATACTGTATGTTTAAAACTGCATGTGCTGCATATAATGTAAATATATTTTTGAAAAATGAAACTTTTGAAAATTATTTTTATAAGTATGCTTTCACGTTTAATAAAACACAACTGATCAAACCGCATTTTCTTTGCTTTTTAAGAGATCAGGTTAGGTTCTGTAGACTTGCTTAATTCAGGTATGATATTTTTCAAAATGTTACAAAAGTTTGCCATGTGTACATACTGAAGTATCTGTTCATTAACTCAAATCACATTTTAGTATAACAATCACAATCCAATCTTCTCTGAAAAATAGTTTTTCTTGCATTTCAGTGGAAATCTACTTTTTCTTACCTGAATATAATATTGTATGCCAAACCTTGTGCAATATTGTGCCTGACGTTTGGATGTCGCTGGCTGTAGTTCGTTAAAATAGAGACATGACATTATTTTTGCTACATAGTTTTTATTTATGTTTGATGTATTATGGAAATTTCAGCATGGCAGATACTTTTGGTTATTTTTGTTTTATTGCACTGTACAGATGATGTACCATGAAAAACACTATGTAAAATAAAGGTATGTATTATTATTCCTTTAGATTTTCATTTATCGGTTTTTCCCTTTATAAAAGATAGTTCAGTATCACTTTTTTTTATTTGAGGCTACATTTTGCAAAACATTCTTTAACCGCAACACATTATCAATTTGTATACTGTAGCGCCACGTGGGGCTCTTTTGCCACGCGCACGCAAGGCGGACTGAGAACAGCGCCTGGGGGCGGGGCTGCGGGACTGCGGGACTGTGCGTAGTGGGACGGAGGCTGGGAGACGGCCTCTTCCCTTCTGTGTCTGTGCTGGTGTAGGTGCAGCGCCGTAACCCCTGTCCCTGTGTGTGTACCCTCCCCCGGTTCCGGTTAATAAATATGGTGTTTATCCCCTTATCCCGAGTCCTACTGAAGCCCGCGGTCGTTACAATATCATTCAGTTCTGTGTTTCATCGTGGAACAATGTGGGAGTGGGAGGAGCAGCAGCGAACACCGGTAAAAGTGGATGCCCTGTCTGAGGGGGCAGAAGCACTAGTGTGAGGCTAAAAACACAAAAAGGAAAAAGAAAAATGCACCGCTTTGTAGAGCAGCGTCCAGGCTGGACTGTCCCTACTTAGCAAGGTCCAGCCTGGGGAAAAGGACCTGCTTGGGACAACAGTATCCAGTCTGGATTATCCCTATTTAGCAGAATCCAGACTGGAAGAAGAGGGGCGTAGGGCGAAAACTGAACACACCCCCACGTAATGCCACATATCCTCCCCTCATGAGGGAGGCCACTCAGCCCTCTGAAAAACAAACCAAGGGAGGGAGGGTGGAAAAAGTTTTAAAAAAAGAAAACGGAAAGAAGAAACTAACAAATGCCGCCTTACTGCAGGCTCCAGGCCAAAATAATGGGTGGGACAGGGGAGGAAAGTTTCCGCCTGGTGAGATACACGGTAGGACAGGAGAAAAGAAAAGGAAAATAAAATGAATGAAAAAACGTGGACACAATGCTCTCTCCACAGTCCCTTCTGGGGCTGTTGCTGGAAGGTTCTCCCCTTGCGGGGTCTACACATCCCTCGTCGAGGTGTTCAGCGTGTCTTAAAGGGCCCCCACAGCTGCAGCTCATCCTTAACTAGCCAGGGCAGCTGTGGTTGCTAAGGCAACACGTCACCCAAAATCCAGAGCTCCACCTCCACACTGCACATGCCCCCAGGTAATGCCCCTAATACAGTAAACCCTCAGTTCAATGGACTAATCAGGGATAAGGGGTGTTCGTGTTGCTTAAATAACTATTACATTACAAAAGATGTTTTCAAGGCCCAAAACACACTACTATATGAGAAAAAAAAACATTTACTGAGCTGTTGAGCATGTTTCAGCAGTTAGTGGAAGGAGGGAGGCAAGGAAGTTGTTCTGGCTTGTGAGGAAGTTTCGTTGCCTTTTTTATTTTTATGGCAGGAGTGCTGTTCACTGGGGGGTAGGAATAGCAGGGTGAATGGGAGGAGAGGAGAGAGAGAGGGGCTGCTCATACATGATTTCAGGAGGTAAGAGAGTGAACAGCTGTCTCTCTTTACAGAGGAATAAAAGGCAGGAAAGAAGGGCCTGAGGAGAAAGGTCAAGGAGCACAGGAACAGTCCATTTTTGGGAGGCGCAGGTTGCTATAATACAGTACATACTGTATACAGTATGCGTATGCGTTCTGGATTTTTTGACATACAGTATTTTTATCTCTTGCAATCAACACAATCAATAACAATTGTTCCTGTGCCCTTTTATTTTATATTTTATTTTTTCAGAAAATATATTAGATCTTTATTTCATGTGTCATAAATATACAGTAAAGTATTTAAAACACAAACAACACTCACTGTAAGGAATTGACATACCTCTAGGGCACCATTGATACAGTATTCTTGAATTGACTACATTCCCCATGAACACTTGCAAGGTTCAAATAAAAAATAATTTATTTGTTTGAATTTTTCCAACTGCATTTATAACTGCCTTTGCTATGTCCATAGATCTATCCAGGACATTTTGATTCTATTGGTGATGCCTAAGGCAGTGTCTAATCAATGGTGGTGCTGCACCTAAATAAAAATATATTTCTCAATAGTAATAATGGTACTGGTGTCACAGATGTATTATGTACAGTATACTGGCATGGTCCTTTAGGGAGCGCTCTGACACTTTTGTATTTTAGTTTTATTACGTACACCTGTCCCTGGTTTTCCCAGTCACTTCCGGGTTATACCGTCCACATAGGGTCCTAAACAACGCCCTTTACGGGAGTCAGGACCGGCTCCCGTGACAGACCCCCTCTGAGGTCAGTACAGGTCAGCATCATTCAAGTTCTGAATAGTTTGGCTCCAGGGTGTGTACTTAAGAAGAAGATTGTATGACCTGAAATGTTATCAGGTCATCTGAAAAATCTAAAAATGTTAAAATTCACTCTTTTGGTATGCCCCAATATGTAAATACAATTTCCAGATAAGAAAGGAGTGACCTGTGCAGAATATCCACATGGTACAGTATTTCAGGGAAATTTTAGCCATTGCTCTCTCTCCTCAGTTTTTATATTATTACTGCACATTCCCGATTATTCTTTGGGGAATGTGGTTCAGGCAAGAACCCCTGTCTTTTTTCCATTTGCCACTTTCCACTGTGCTATAGTATCATTTAAAAGATTCAAGGCTACAAGTATAGTGGCAATCTTACCTACAGGTACATCTTGCACCATGGGCTGAAATGGCTGGAGATCTGCAATAGAAACTGACATCTTCAGAATTTGAAATGTCAAAAGACAGGCCTTCCTCTATATAAAGGTGGTTTACAAGGCCTGAGCACATTGAAACTCACACTGGGCTGAAGACTGCACGACAAGGAGTCCTGATTCAACAAAACTCTTCTCACATTGTTCAGTTCAGTTCATGCTTTATCATCTCCTGGGGGAAACTTGTTTTATGGCACAGCCCATTACTACGATACAAGGACAGAAAACATTACAGTTATGTTAGACAGTTAGACAACAAGCCTTTATATCCCAAACGTACAATATTTCCACCCACGTGAAAATGTGGTTTTATAACCCTTTTATAACCCTTCACTATTTATCTTTTATTTTAGGATAATGAAATAAGATATTTTAGCATTTATACCAATGTTCTCCTACAAAAATTAAAGTACCGAAAACTACGGATAGTGCTATACCCACTGATACTGATTTCTCTATACCGGTTGAACTGAATGCTTATTATGTTTGGTTTGAGGGAATCATGGAACCACCGGTGCCACTGTTCCCAGCCGCTGATGACCTGTCAATGGAAAGAAATATACTGTAGGTGCCCCTAAGGGCTGTGTGCTTCCCCCCTCCCCCGCTGTATTCCTTGTTTACCCACAATAGTGTGGCCACACACAGCTCCAACTCCATTTACAAGTATGCTGATGACACTGCCATCTTTGGCCACATCACCAGTCATGATGAGACGGCCTACAGGGATGAGGTCAGGAACCTGGTGGAGGGGTGCCTTGACAATAATATCTCCCTCAATGTCAGCAAACCCGAAGAGCTGGTCATTGATTTTAGAAAACAGGGTGGGGACCACACCCCTCTTCACATCAACGGGGTGGCTGTAGAGATGGTTAGCAGCTTTATGTTCCTGGGCACCTTCATTACTAATGATTTGACGTGGTCCCAGAATGTAACTGGAGCTACAAAGAAAGCACAACAACGCCTTTTTTTTTTTTACAGGACAGGTGCGAGTGAGAGTGTGCTCACATGTGGTTTTACAGTGTGGCTTGGAAGCAGCTAATTTTCAGACCAGAAAGCATTACAGGGGGTGATCAGGTCAGCCCAGTCCATCATACAGCTCCTCTCTATTGTGGACATTTTTACAACTCACTGTCTCAAGAAGACTGAAGGTATCGCTAAGGATACCAGTCATCCTGGTTCCTTACTTTTCTCTGCCCTTCCCTCTGGTAAGTGATATAGGAGCATAACGGCACAAACCTCCAGATTCAGAGACAGTTTCTTCCTGTAAACTGTCAGATTACTGAACTCTATCCCCTGATGTTTTTTTCTCTTCTCACACTGCTCTTGTGACTTGTTTTTTTAAATTGTATGTTATAGAACATGCTACTGCTGTTCTGTGTTTATGTTTTGATGTTTCCTTAAAATATTAAATTGGTTTACTATTACCCAAGCAGCCAGCTACAGACTGTTGTGAGGTCTCTAATGGGTCTCACATTGAGCTATTTATTATAATGGTAGTGTAACAATATTTTTGTAATTATGTAAGCACTAGCTCTGGCACACGACTTGTGTTCTTGTTATTATTGTTAAGGATTATTTTTAACCATGCTAGCACCTTATCAAGGGAATATGACACAGGGATTTAAGAGTAGCTGCTGCGAGGGCTGGATTAAAGTAAACTGAGACGGTGAGTTGTATTGGTCCTTATCATTAATATTATTGTTGTTGCAGTTATTTCACAGAATTAATGAAAATCGTCTGCTAAAACAAATTTACAAATGTAAGCACAAACATTTTGGTTTTCAGTCTTTCCTTAGGTAAATGCTTATTAAATGAAAACAAATTATTTAGGAATGAAGCATGGCTAGAAGTTGTGGGAAGGTGTGTAAATATTTTATGGGGTGTTGTTCTCCATTACATTATATCTTCATGTATATTTTGAGTTTGTTGTTAGCACGTGTTGAAACATTCTTACATTCTTTTATAATTCTAATGAGATCACCTGTGGCACTTTCACAGGATGAAGATTCGCATATTAATTTATTTACTTTGTACCATGAATAATGAATCTTATTTTCACCTTAATTTTAATATAAAAATAGAAGAAGATTATTTCAGATTTCCAGAATTTTCACTTATTTCAACTGCATTGGCATATGCATGGTTTAAACATGTAGAGTCATATGCTATTTATTTGCCTATGAACTGTACAATAATCTGGAATAGATTGTTAGTAATCAATGGAAATGTCTCTGATTTCCAGGTGAACTGGTTATTTGGAAACTCCAACTCTGAAATCACAGTGGACATGCAGGGATATCAAGGTGGAAATTTCTCCCACACTGAATTTCTTTTAATTGGATTTCATGAACTTAAAGAGCAACGATGGCTCCTGTTCTTCCCTTTCTGTCTCATGTTCATGTTGTCTACAGTCGCAAACTCAGCTCTTATATTTGTCATTACAGCACAGAGGAGTTTGCACTCTCCGATGTGCGTTTTAATAGGAGCCATGGCATGTGTAGACCTAAGTCTGCCAGTATTTTTTGTTCCAAAAATGCTGTTAAGTCTCTTATTTAACTGGGATGCTATCTCTCTACTGGGATGTTTGGTGCAAATGTTTTTCATTCATTTTGTTGGCTCGTTCCAATCCTCCATTCTCCTCTGGATGGCTCTGGATCGGTATGCTGCCATATGCATTCCTCTGCGCTATAATGAATACACAAACACTTCTTCCTCCCTAAAGTTTATAGTTGCAGCAGTTCTTAGAAATGGTATTTTCATTCTGGTTATTGTCATCCTTGCTGGTAATCTGCCTTACTGTTCCTCAAATGTCATTGATCACTGTTTCTGTGAACACATGGCCCTGGTAAGTGTAGCCAATGGAAGCACAGTCATTAACAGCAGTGTAGGATTGGGTGCTGTGTTCTGTGTAACAACTCTTGATTTTGTCTGCATTGTTGTTTCATATGGCAAAATCTTCATTTCAGTCTTTAAAACCACCACAGGAAAATCCTCTCGCAAAGCAATTCACACCTGTACTACTCACATAATAGTTATGTGTGTGACTTACTTTTCTGCCATGACAGCATTTTTTACTTATAGGGTTAAGAATTCAATCTCTCCTAACATCCGTGTACTTATCAGTACAATGTATTTACTTTTCCCCAGTTGTTTTAATCCAATTATTTATGGCATCAGAACAAAAGAGATAAGAGAGCAAATACTCAAACTAATTAAAAGAACTAAAGTTGATCAAACCTCTTTTAAAGTGTCGAGTGTGATGCAAAACTAAGAAGTTAAATAAGGGAGGAGGATAGACTCCATTTTATTAATTATGAGACGTTGATTGATTCGATATGATATTATTTGATATAGTTAAAATGTTTTTTAATTGCATGGAAATATGGAAATATTGTGCTTCATAAATGCTTAATAAATTGCATGTATTCAAAACATGTTTTATCACATTTATTATAAAAAAAAATCAAGAATATATATTTATTGGCTGTGTAAGAGATCGGCAATAGTTGTAGAACAGTTGGTAATCTGTCATTTTTAAAAATATTCACAAACTTTTTTCAAACTGTCACGCAATAGTTTCTCCTGAAAAATAAAATGAATAAAGCTTCAAGAGAAACATATCAATCCATAATGTATGCATATTTTTAGAGTATATACAAAATTTTAGATATTGCTTACATATTTTTGGTATCAATTTAATTTTTGATCATCCATGACTGATCATGACACACTACAGTGGCCATGTTGCATAAGCACTAATACACCTCATTATAGAGAAAACTGATGTGCTAATATGTAAGGCATACTGAAGATATCTTATTGCTCTTACCAATTGGATGATAATTTGCTATTCATCAAAATTTCTTTTTAAATAGAAGGATTATTATTCAGTTTGTGAGCCTGTTTCTGGGAGGTGTTCTGTAAGGTCTTACCTTGAAGACTTAAGAATTGTTACCTCATGTATTATTGTTAAGGATTATTTTTAACATCATGCTAATACCTCATCAAGGGAATATAGAAAGGGGATTTAAGAGCAGCTACTGTAAGAGCTGGATTAAAGCACAATCAAAGAAGACAAAGAAAAGAAGGACTTCCTTTTGAGATGGTGAGTCATTAAATGTGTCATTGCAGCTGTGGTCATAATATTTCACTTAATACTGGAAAATGGTATAGACTTGTACCAACGAGTTCTATAAAGATATTAATGGGATCTAATGGTGTGATTACTTCAGCATTGCTTACATCTGTGTTTATACTTTAGTGCTGTATTTGTGAATAATTATTCTTACATTTTTCAGGGATATAAAGGCATTAACTCAAAATAAAAATATTGACTATTTTTTTTCATAGATTCATGTAATTTACACTTTTATCTGAGCTTTGGAGTATTATTCTATCTGACCTTCACATTTCAAGAATTATGCAAAATGGTGCTATTATCTTTTAATAAATAATAAAATGTCTGGATTTTTATTTCACTTTGACATTATATTTTGTTTATAATGTATAATGAGTATTTTGTGTTGATGAGTGGCAACAAATCTCAGTTAAATACGTCATGGTTCCATGCTGTAAGACAATAAAATGTGAAAAAGTCCAAGGGGGTTGAATACTTTTGCAAGACATTGTATTTTGTATCATGAGAGGATGATAAATAAATATGCTAAAAATAAAAAATGAAAATATCTTTCTTTCCTGTTCATTTTTATGTAAGGATACTTTTATTTTAATATTTCCAGAATGTTGACTCAGTTTAACTGTGCGATCGAATACAATACATACAATTAATTGCTTATTATTTTCCTTCTTGCTTATTATTGTACATAAAATGGTAGAAATAGTCATTTACGTTTTCTCTGATTTCCAGGTGAATGTATTATTTGGCGATTCCAGCATTAAAATTGCAGCAGGGATGCAGGAACGCCAAGGTGGAAATATTTCCCACATCGAATTTCTTTTCATTGGATTTCATGAACTTAAAGAAAACAGATGGGTTTTATTCTTCCCCTTCTTTCTGATGTTCCTGCTGTCTACTGCTGCTAACTCACTTCTTATATTTGTCATTAAAACACAAAGGAGTTTACACTCTCCAATGTGTGTCTTAATAGGCCTCATGGCATTAGTCGATCTGAGTTTGCCAGTATTTTTTGTCCCTAAAATGCTATTAACCTTCTTATTTAACTGGAATGGTATTTCTTTACTAGGCTGTCTTGTCCAAATGTTTATCGTTCATTTTGTTGGCTCGTTCCAATCATCCATTCTCCTGTGGATGGCTCTGGATCGGTATGCTGCCATATGCATTCCACTGCGCTATAATGACTACATGAGCCCTTCTTCTTCTGCTAAATTTGTTATAGCTGCTGTTCTCAGAAATGGTATTTTCATCCTGTTTATTGTCATTTTTGCTGGTAATCTCTCTTATTGTTCCTCAAATGCCATTGATCATTGTTTCTGTGAACACATGGCATTAGTAAGTTTGGCCTGTGGAAATACTATCATAAACAATGTTTTTGGGCTGCTCACTATTTTCTGTGTCACAACCCTAGACTTCGTGTTTATTGTTGTTTCATATGCCAAAATATTCATCTCAGTATTTAAAACAGCATCAGGAAAATCTTCCCAAAAAGCAATCCACACCTGCACTACCCACATAATAGTCATGTTTGTGTCTTACTTCTGTGCCATGACAGCATTTCTTGCATACAGGATTAAGAATTCAATCCCTCCAAACCTCCGTGTCTTAATTAGCACAATGTATTTACTTTTTCCCAGTTGTTTCAATCCCATTATTTATGGTATCAGAACAAAAGAGATAAGAGAGCAGATATTCAAATTAATTTAAAGAACTAAACTTGCTCACACCTCGATTAATGTATCAAGTGTGATGCACATCTAATATGGTAAGCATGGGTAAATGATGAACTCCATACTAATAAATGTAATTGTAAACCTATTCAGCATCCAATCATTTAATATAATTCCAATGTCTCTTTTAATTGTGTGAAAATATATTTAGTATGTTCTTTTTTACAATGCTGAATAAAGTGCAACAGTTTAAAATATATTTTTGAATCACCTTATATGTAAATCCACCAAATGCATTTGAAACTCAAGACTTCATTTGTTTGTTTGGTTATATAGTATGTTGTATGAGGCCAAGAATACATCCAGACTTACAGTAATTCAGTTAGTAGGACAAGCTTTTTTCCAAGCTTTCACACTGAGAATCAAATATATTAAGCTTTTAAATAAACATGACACAACATAGTGTTGTTACAAAAAAATGAAATGTACAGATTTGATTTTGGACATGAATTCAATGATTTTGGCATCGATCTGTAGAATGGGGTCAGGTGACAAAATGTTGAAACCTGTCAAGCCTGGTAAAATTCAAATAAAAAACATTTTTATTATATTTATTATCATTTATTACTTAATCTACTCATTTTGTCAAAATATGTTTTTTTGTAGAAATAGGAAATACCTTAAACAGACCGAGTGGGCAAATCCATAATTAAATATTATGGATTAATTGATTCATTAATAATTAATCCATGATTAATAAGTAACCAATATCATTGATACTGTATGTCATTTAGGACATATCTAAATTCTGTAATACCAACGAGAGAAGAGTATGCTACGGTATACAGTAGCTAGCAAGTAACTAGTGTAGCATTTTTTTTACTTCAAACATTTCTGTCCTAAGTTTAAACACCCTTCTGTATTTATATTTTTTTTTGCTTATGTTCAGTATTCCTCAAATCCTTTATTATTATTAACAAATAATTATGTCTCACCCACCAGTATCCACTGGGGTTTTAAATAGTGGCATTATTAGCATGTTTTTATAGCATGGTTCTCGTAGTTGCCCTATCAAATATCTTCTACTTCTAGATGAGGATGCAGTCTTCAAAACACACACTCACATTGTCAAAACCCGAGTACACAATAAAGTAGACTAACTCTTTTCACAGTCCCCTCACTAGACTGTGTGCCGATATCTATGCATGAATGACACCTAGGCCTAGTGGGTGTCTGCTTAATCTGAATCCAGCTCAGGAGTGCTGGACTCCAGAGAAATCCTTAACTCTCTTCAGATTCATCTAACAAGATGCAGGTATCTAATGTTTGTCTGTGATGGGCTGGTCACTTCTTTTTCATTAAGAATGAATTGTGCCTCACCTTTATGATGAAAACATTATTACTGTACCTCGTATATTATTGTTATGGATTATTTTTAACACCAGGCTAGTACCTCATCAGGGGAATATAGGAAAGGGATTTAAGAGTAGCTACTGCAAGAGCTGGATTAAAACACAGTCAAAGAAGACACTATCACAAGAAAACAGATAGAATAAAGGTTTCCTTTTGGCTTGGTGAGTTATTAATATGGTATTGATGCTGTGGTTGCTTTTATTTCATAAAAATAAATATCATATATACTGTATCTGTAGCAAAATCTGAAACTGCTCAAAGAGTAATTAACTGTGATTACATGCAATTGGAAGATACCGTATATTAACATACTGACAGTGTTTCTTTTATGTTCTACTTCAACTGTACCTGCTATGTTTTTGATGATACAATAATTTATACATTATTTGAGTTCTTTTGAATTCTGATTTCATAGCAGATAAATGAAGATTTAATTTCTGTTTAATATTTAGCTTTTTTTCAAAATTGCGTGAAACTGTGCCATTATATCTGCAGCCCAAGTATCCATTTGCAAATGTTCATTGTTTGCCAGTTGTTCTTTATAACACACATTAAATGGGAGCAATAGTAATCAATGGAAGTGTTCTCCAATTTCAGGTGAATGTAGTACTTGGAGACTGCACTGAAATCGCAGCAGGGATGCAGGGATTCCAAGGTGGAAATTTCTCCCACACTGAATTTCTTTTAATAGGATTTTATGAACTTGAAGAGCAACGATGGCTTCTGTTCTTCCCTTTCTTACTGATGTTCATGTTGTCGACTGTCGCAAACTCAGCTCTTATATTTGTCATCAGAACACAGAGGAGTTTGCACTCTCCGATGTGCGTTTTAATAGGAGCCATGGCATTTGTAGACCTGAGCATGCCAACAGTTTTCATCCCCAAAATGTTGTTAAGCTTCTTATTCAACTGGAATGGCATTTCTCTATTGGGTTGTCTGATCCAAATGTTTTTTGTTCATTTTGTTGGCTCGTTCCAATCATCCATTCTCCTCTGGATGGCTCTGGATCGGTATGCTGCCATATGCATTCCTCTGCGCTATAATGACTTCATGAACCTTTCTAATTTTCTAAAGTTTACTGTTGTAACTATTCTCAGAAATTGTACCTTTGTTGTGATCGTTGTCGTCCTTGCTGGTAACCTTCCTTATTGCTCCTCAAATGTCATTGATCACTGTTTCTGTGAGCACATGGCACTGGTAAGTATGGCCTGTGGAAGCACAGTCACAAATAGCATTGTGGGGTTGGTAGCGGTTTTCTGTATAACAACTGTTGATTGTGTGTGTATTGTTATTTCATATGTCAAAATTTTTTATTCTATCTTTATAAAAGCATCAGGAAAATCTTCCCGAAAGGCAATCCACACATGTACTACACATATAATAGTCATGTGTGTGAGTTATACCTGTACCATTACAGCCTATTTATCGTACAGAGTTAAGAACTCCATCCCCCCAAACATTCGTGTCTTAATTAGTATAATACACATTCTTATTCCCTGTTGTTTCAATCCAATTATTTACGGTCTCAGAACAAAAGAGATTAGAGAACAGCTAGTGAAACTTGTTCAGGCTCTAAGAATTGGTCAGACCTCTGTTAAAGTGTCCAGTGTAACATACAATTCACATGAAAAGACTGGGGAATGAGGGACTTCATCTTATTAACATCATTTATATTTGTTATTCAATATGAAATTATTTGATGAAATTATTTGAAGAGAATTGTCTTTAAGAAATGTGTGTGTATAATGTCAAACTAAATTTAAAACAAGAAAACACACCATGAAAACTTCAGTAAAATATCCCTGATAGAGTATCTGTACTTACAGTATGACTGTATTTTATAGAAATATGAACTGTTGACTTTCCTAATAATCTAAGCAACATTTTCAAACATTTCTACTCAATAGTCTAATATTCACACCATGGAAACAGACACATGAAGACAAAACCAATATTATTTTAAAATTAATTTGTATTGCATGCCCATTGTTGCTACTGTACATCGTTAAGTTACTGAATGCATTTTGTGAGAAATTAATCTTTTAAATAAGACTGGTAGAAAATTAATAAAGTGGATAGATACTCTTTTAAAAACTTGTGTTTAAGTATTAGTTTTCTCATTTTGTCTATCATCTTCACAGATTGTACACTGAAAATAAAATTAAGAAAAATATTCAGTACAATGTGCTTATGTACTGTAGTTCAGGTGGGTAGCTGCGTCAGCATGTGTAGGCTGCAAAGGAACAAGTAATAGGTTTATTCCATGCGGAAAAGAAGAAGAAAGAAAACACAATGTTTCGGCCGTGGAGCCTTCTTCAGGTGTGAGAAAGACAGGGCAGTAAGCTAAGGTAATGCTTACTTGTAGAGGTCAGTGACATAGTCAGTGTAAGAAGCGAAGAACCGTTCTTCTACCCAGCCAACAAAAATATTGGCATAGCTGGGTCCCATTCTGGTGCCATTGCCAACTCCACTCACCTGTTGGTAAAAAAAAAGGTTATTGCATATAATACAGCATAATACAGCATTTATTTAATTTCATTTATTTCATTTAAAATAAAGTGTATTGCTGTATATCTATCAATTTACTGTATAATTTAGCCTGTCAATAAACAATTGTACTGTTCTCTAGTGTGCTACATTTTTAATTTGAAAACAGTTAGGTTTTCAAATTAAAAGATTAACAAAGCAGGAAACATTTTAAGAAGAACTTGTTACGCCTCCTGCCATCCCTCCCACAGGCTGTCATGGAAACGGTCCATGCTGGAAGGTCAGAGTTCCTGGAATTGCTTTGCAGACATGCCTTGCCCAGGTGCAGAGTTCAGTAACGTCTTGCATCAGATAGTGCTCGTGTGTGGCTACTGTATGTCATTCTGCCTTGAAGCTGGGCTCTTCCAAACCTGGTTCGCTGCGTACTTTAGTTGGGAGCTCTTTGGCCGCAAGACCAGGTGAGGGCGCCACACTGCTCCCACCTGAGACATCTGGCGTCCTACAGACGTCGAATCACTTGGTTACATTACGTACAAAATCCTCCAGGCCCCGCGGCACCTGGCAAGTGTACCCAGTGAGGCGAGGTGGAGTCTGGAGGTCTTTCCCCTCAGCTCCCCCACCGGGCTGGTGAAATCTGGACCTAGCTGCTCCCAGGGCTCCTCTTCTCCCTCCTGTTCCAGCGCCCCCCTTGAGCCCTGAAGGGAGCCAGGCAGTCTCGATGCAGGATCACCACCTTCCCTCGCTTTCCAAGCTGGACATGGTAGCAGACCTCCATGACATCCCCGACTCCCTCCCACACCAGCGCCAGCTTCAGGCTGAGGCCCTTTGTGGCGCCGTGGGTTGTAGACCCAGACAATGTCCCCTGGTCTAAAGGGGGTCCCCCTGCAGCGCAGACTATAAAACCTCTTCTGCCGTATCCCCACCTGAGCTAGGATTCCCGCCGAAGCTGTGTATCCGCAGCATCAGCTGCTGCAGGTCCCATTCGTAATCTGGCCCAGCTGGCTGCGTCAGCTCTCTTCCCGGTGGCGAACCGAATGGCAGGTCCACCGGGATACACATCTCCCTGCCCAGTATGAGCAAGGCTGGAGTGCACCTGGTGGACTCTTGCACAGCTGTCCGGTATGCCCAGATGGTGAGGGATAAGTGGCAGTCCCAGTCCTGCTGGTGCCTTGAGACCAAGATGGCCAGTTGATGGGAAATCTTCCGATTAAAATGCTCCAACAACCTGTCACCTGAGACTGGAAATCCTGGTCACTATGAAGCTCCTCCATCACCAACAGGGCATCAGCCACGGTGGTTGCGGTCTGTTCCAGGACTAGCATCACTAGCATCAGTATCTAGCACATAGGGCAGCAACGGATCCGAGAAGGTCAGGACAGAAGCCACCACCAGTGCCTCCCGCAGCCCCCGGAAGCCCGTCTCACATTCTGTGTCTCACACGAACTGGCACCCCTTCCCGGTGAGGCGGTGCAGCACGGGGCAAGGCTGGGAAAGTTCCGGACGAACCTCTGGTAGTCAGACACCAACCCCAGGAAACTGCAGAGTTCCACCACGGTGCGGGGTGTCGGCCAGCTGCACACCAAAGCGACCTACTCCTCGCGGGCCGACCACATGCCAAAGGAAAGTAACCTCCCCCTCAAGAGCTCGCACTTCTCGGGGATGAGCTACAATCTGGCCCTCCGGATACAAGCCAACACTAACCAGAGATTCACCAGAGCCTTCTCGAAATCCCGAGCATGCACGAGCAGGTCATCTGGGTACACCTGGGTACATTTGCTCCGGGGGACTGACACCAGCACTTGCTCCATCAACTGCTCAAACTTCACCAGGGCATTCCACAGTCCGAAAGGCATGACTATTAACTGCCAGAGTCCCTGGCCGATGGAGAAGGTCGTCTTTCGGCGAGCCTTGGGAGAGAGCGAAACCTACCAGTAGCCGCAGTGGAGGTCAAGCGAACTGGACCAGGTCAACCCGGAAATGTAATCCAAGGTGTCATCTGTCTATCTACCTAGGATAGGAGTCCTTCTGGGTGACCTCATTCAGTTTTTCATAGTCAACACAAAACCTCCACGAGCCATCCTTCTTCCGTATGCAGACGACCGGAGTGGACCACGGGCTCGCGGAGGGCTTGATCGCCCCCGCCACAGCCATCTAATGAAACTTCTACTCCTCGGATTTACTTTCACAAAAATACTGAACCACATACACACTTATACCAACAGATATAAATATATATTTTCTTTCCTTCTTTTACCTACTGAATGTCTGGTTTCACTTAAAATTTTTGTCAGTATTGAACTATAATAAAAAAAAATATTTGGAAAATATTCCTCTATAAACTCTTCATTTGTTGCTGTAAATCTTAACTTTATTGTATTTTTGAAAGGCTAAGGCTAAAGAAATTATTAACTTTGATTACATATTAAAATATCATTTTTTTAATAGACTTACAATATATTTAAATTAATCCTCATCTTACATATTGAGTCTCAAATGTACATTGTTTTTTGCAAATAATGTAGTATATAAATTGGAATATAAAATAATATTATAATAATTAATGGAAATGGTATTTACAAATCAATTGTTCTCTGATTTCCAGGTGAATGTGTTATTTAGGAACTACAGCACTAAAATTGCAGCAGGGATGCAGGGATATCAAGGTGGAAATTTTTCCCACACTGAATTTCTCTTCATTGGATTTTATGAACTGGTGGCCTTTTTTTTCCCCTTTCTTTCTGATGTTCCTGCTGTCTACTGTTTTTAATTCAATTCTTATTTATGTTATTAAAACACAGAGAAGTTTACACTCTCCGTTGTGTATTTTAATAGGAGCCATGGCATGTGTAGACCTGGGTATGCCAACTATTTTCATCTCTAAAATGCTGTTAAGCTTCTTATTTACAATAACTGGAATGGTATTTCTCTACTGGGATGTTTGGTGCAAATATCTTTAATTCATTTTGTTGGCTCGTTCCAATCATCCATTCTCCTCTGGATGGCTCTGGATCGGTATGCCATATGTATTCTGCTACGCTATAATGACTACATGAACACTTCTAATTTCTTCCTGTTATTATTGAAATGTCACAAATATTGTACTTTCTGTGTATTTTTTCTGCTTTGATGCACTGTGTAGTATGGAGAGGCAATAATAATTGTTCTAATAAAAAACTCATTATTTTCCAGATTCCGCAGCAAGAGATGACAGCCCCCCAAACAATTTCCCTGTATAGAAAACAGCTTCTGATTCTCACTGGGGTAATAAGGGATTCTGTGGAAAAGACACTTTAATGCATACTGTTAGAACTTTGTATTCACCTGACCAGGTGAATGCATATCTCCTAGGAGGTGCAAATCAAGAAGATTGACTTTAAGCAATCAGACAGATGCCTACTAGGTCAAGGAACGTTACATGCTCAGACATCTATACACAGTGATAAATACGTGAAATTAGGTGATCTTACAGTACTTTACAGTAAAATTTGCTTTGGGTTGAGAAATTGTGGTTGTGTCCATTGTGATCACCGTTAGTTTTAAAATGTTATAGACTAAAACATCAATATTTATTCCATCTGTCCATCCATTTTCTAACTGAGTCCAAAGCCTATCCTAACAAGTTACAGGTGCAAGACAAGATACACCTTGAACACACACAGACATGCACACACTCACTAAAGACCAGTCTTCACAGAATGTCTAATAGTATGTCTGGACTGTGGGAGGCAACTGGAGCACCCAGAGGAAACCCACACAATCATTAGGAGAACATACAAACTCCACGCAGAGAGCTGAATGGAGGGGCGCCAATATTTATTTCGGTTATTTTATTTTTTTCAATTCATTATTTTATTTTAGGAATACATTTGTCTGTAATAAGATCATCAGTGCAGATATTAGGAATAAAAGATTTCCTTAGGTCTTTTTTTCTAACAACCCTCTGTTAGAAATGGACATCTGTCTGCATTCACAATACAGTAAGATCTTCAGCAAAGGTCTTTCTCAACAGACATAAAGTTTATGCTCCTGTAAATCTTTTTACTGTTCATGTTAGGTCATGTGGGGTCTGAGAGAATTGTAAGAGATGTGGAGAGGTTATTCTAATCCATCAGTAGGCCTTACTACTTTGACCTCTAAAAGATGTTGCAATTCAATTCATGGAGCTTTAGTTAAGTGTCCTAATCTACACTCACTTGCTCAACTTTTATACTGTAAGACTCAGTCTAAAAACTAAAATAATTTTATAATTTGAATTGGAATTAATGGCTCCTACTAAGGTGGTAATTTCTTTCTGAATTCACTGTGTAACTTTTCGATTGCTGTCCGGTGTTTCTGTGTGCTGTTCATGTAAGGTCTTATCTGGTGACTTAAGAACTGTCATCTCAGGTATTATTATTGAGGATTATTTTTAACACCAGGCTAGTACCTCATCAGGGGATTCATGGAAAGGGATTTAAGAGTTGCTATTGCAAGAGCTGGATTAAAACACAATCAAAGACAAGAGACAGAAGAAGGGTTTTCTTTTTACATGGTAAGCTGTCGTTAAAATTGTTATTGATGTTGGGGTTAACATTATTTCACAGAAACACTGGAACTCGTATACACTATTACCAACAATATTGGAGTTATCATTTATTTTTTCCCTCTTCACCTTAATTATATACAGTATGTTATAAGTATCTAGGGTCAAAATTATACTGAAAGTATGTAAACTGATGGGGTTATTTTACTTTGCAATATCTTTTCATTTGTGTTTCAATAATGATTTAAAACACTCTAACAGTTTTTCAAAGCTTAATGATATAAATAAATGATTTGCTATGATTTTCTATGATATTTATTTAGCATTCTAAATATGTGACAGACCATTGTCCTTTTCATTTCATTAGAATTTCTAAAATAATTCTGACGAAATGAAAAAAATACTAAAAGTTTAGTCCTGAATACTGTTTACTTTGATGTAATTCATAAACTGTATAAAATCATAGTAATAATAATTAAAATGTTCTCTGATTTTTAGGTGAATGTTTTATTTGGAATCTCCAGCACTGAAAACACAGCAGAGATGCAACAATATCAAGGTGGAAATTTTTCCCACACTGATTTTTTTTTTACTGGATTTTATGGACTTGAAGACCAGCGATGGCTCCTGTTCTTCCCTTTCGTACTGATGTTCATGTTGTCTACATTTGCTAATTCAGTTCTAATATTTGTTATTAAAACACAGAGGAGTTTACACTCTCCAATGTGTGTTTTGATAGGTGCCATGGCATGTGTAGACCTGGGTATGCCAACAGTTTTCATCCCTAAAATGCTGTTAGGCTTCCTATTTAACTGGGATAGTATTTCTCTACTGGGATGTCTGGTCCAAATGTTTTTCATTCATTTTGTTGGCTCGTTCCAAACATCCATTCTCCTTTGCATGGCTCTGGATCGGTATGCTGCCATATGCATTCCTCTGCGCTATAACGACTACATGAACATTCCTAATTCTATTAAATTTATTGTGGCAACTGTTGTCAGGAACGGCATATTTGTTGTGATTGTTGTCATTCTTGCTGGTAATCTCCCTTACTGCTCCTCAAATCTCATTGATCACTGTTTCTGTGAACACATGGCCCTGGTAAGTTTGGCCTGTGGAAGCACAGTATTAAATAGTGTTTTTGGGCTGGTAGCAGTTTTCTGCATAATAAGTGTTGACTGTATTTGTATTGTTGTTTCATATGTCAAAATTTTCTACTCTGTATTTAAATCAGGAAAGTCTTCAAGAAAAGCAATCCATACTTGTACTACTCATATAATCGTTATGTGTGTAACTTATACTTGTACCATGACAGCATTCCTGTCTTACAGGATCAGGAATTCACTCTCTCCCAATGTACGTGTCCTGATCAGTATAATGTATATGTTTCTTCCCTGTTGTTTCAATCCATTTATTTATGGCATCAGAACAAAAGAGATAAGAGAACAGCTGTTGAAATTGTTTCAAAGTCCAAAAATTATTCATTCCTCTGTAACAGTGTCAAGTGTAATAAGTAAATAAGTTAGGAGGAATTTAGGATATTATTAATATCATTAATGGCAGTGATTTAACATGAAATTTTTATACAAAGTTTTTTTTTCAAAAATTAATGCATGCAGAAATTGTTAGAGAAAGTGCATGCATTCAGAAATTGTTAGAGAAATTGAAATTAGGATCAAGCATGCAAACCAAAATTTTATAAAATTGCTCCTGTTAGAGGGTCTTGCATTTACTGTACAGCCGGAATCTTTTTTTATTGTGTGGCTTTCAAGTTCCTTGACTGGAAAACAGTATAAATTGTTTTTTTAATAGGTCTAGAGTGGCTGGTTATGGCCCCAAAGAGCCACAGTCCTGACTAAAGTACTTAAGTTATCCCTGTACATTGTTGCATATATATATATAAATTTATGAATTAAGTGAAATCTGAAATATATGGTTCTTCAGGAATATCACTGGCTAACACATAAATATTTATTTTTAAAATATAAACACAATCACAGACTGAAACACTTAACCAAATGTTTTCTTTAACATTAATTAAATATCCTGGGTAATTACCAGAAATCATCTACAAATAAAGACTAGCTTTAAAAGGTTTATTAATCTCCTTTGTCTGTGTATCAGAGAGACAGAGAAACTCTGCTAAGTCAGAGAACACTTCTGAAATGTTATTAATGTGACTGTTAACTGGAAATACAGTAAATTCAATTCAATTCAATTCAACTTTATTGTCATTAAACTTACACAGGTGCATAGTATAATGAAAAGTGTTTCTCATTAGTCACTCAGGTGCAGTATATAAATAGGACAGAAGAT